AAAAATACAAGTAGATAACATTATTATTATATTATATTTACCTTCTTTATCATTGTACATATTTTCCACAATTGATGTTGCGCCTTGTGTATCCTTATGTTGTATTACGGAATTCTGTATTATTATTTTTGTATTATTTGTATTATCAATATTTTCTTTATCATTTATAGCATCTTCAGTTAACTAAAAAGTAAAACTACTAGCAATATTTCAATATTATGCAAAAAATTCATAAATTTATAATTTTTATACGTACACATGGAATAGCATCTTTTTTCTATTTCCTGTAAGAATGGTTCGATTCATAATCTTGTTCCTTAAAATGTTCCGAACACACAGCTGCTGATTTTGGTGGATCATAATTTTGTATGTTTAGTGACTCGAGCCACTTTTGTTTCCTCTCTATGTTTTTAGGAAAACTAAAAAAAAAAAATATTTTATATAAATATAAATATATCATCTACCCGACAATAAAGCAATACATTTGAATCACTAAGATTATAAATACATAACCTAACATAACCTATAATATTTTATATATTTTACTTACATGTGGAATGAAATCTTCCTTTTTTTTCTTTTTCTATTTGTTCATGATTTTTGTTTTTCATACGATTTGTACAACCGGTTATGATACAAAAACTCATTTTTGTTGTAGCGTGATAGCACTTGAGATGTTTGATGCTTGCGAGATAATGCGATATGCGGCTAACACAACCTGCCCGAATATATACGAAACTGACCGAATGTACCCGAAATGCCACAAATGACTCTCTTCACTCCTGATCAACGACCCCCCTCGCTCATCGTGACACCTAACGTTCCGTCCATATATTCATTACGTCCATGGGCCCACCGACCAGTGTAAGCATGCTGCAAAATGTGGCATGGGCTTATCACACAATACCAGGCAACAGGCAATAGGAATAGGGAATAGAATTTTTGACGCGTTGGATTCGTCGGAAATTTTTGTTCAACCAATCCAACACGTCAGAAATTCTATTCCCTGTTCCTGTTGCCTGGCATTGTGTGATAGGCTTTAGGCTCATACCGTGGACTATGGCCAGCGTTACCTTTCATCCCTTCCTCTTGCCGCGTGCTGGGGAGGGATTAGAGGGATAGTGGAGAATAGGAGGGCAAGGGTTGGTAAAGTCACTAGATAAGATAAAGTAACGCAATGGTCCACCATTTTTATTCCAACTACACGCGGTTCTTTCCAAACGTCTATATGTATATGAATATATTGGGTAAATGAGGGAAAACAATAAATGTTTGTTACTTTCTGACTTCTGTTAGTAGTATAACACCTAACATTTGTTACAGACAATTTCATGGCAACGCTACGACTATTGTTAGCATCAGATGGATTTTTTTAAAAGAAAAGTGAATTCGTGCTGTAACAAAGGTTTTAATCAATTTAGTCATTATATTATGGCACGACGGAATCGATAATGTTGGAGTATTGCTTAAAAACGCGTCAACAAACTCGGTAGCTGGCAACGAATTTGACAGTATTTTTTCTCGTTTTTTTCGAAATGATAACTCGCACTTATACATAATATTATTATAAATACATCAGTGGTTGGAAAAATTAAAACGTTATTCTTATACTGTCGTAATTTTGTGTAATAACTTAGGGCTATTATTAGCATCGTCCTGACAATCTGCAAGAAGAACGTTGAAACATTTATCGCAATGTTTGAAATTTTTTTATTTTACATAATAAGGCACCTATTAAGTGGTGTAAAGAGTTTTGCATTACATCGTTAAGGCTATCTTTGTTTCCAATTAATGGCGAATATAATGGTTCATCCCATAATTCCTCGTCAATACTATCGAGACATAGATTTTCCTTACTTTTCACCTCCAATTTTCTTATGTCATTGCAATAATGTAATCAGCATCATTCGCTGAATAATTGGAACGACAAACGTCTGTTTGAAATTGCGATAAACAAATAAGCCTCAGTGCTTGAATTCCCGTGCATCAGGTACAGTGTTTTTGTTACGTACTGCTGAGAACAAGTTTTCTAATGCATCCTGAGTGAATCTGCTCAATAGCAAGTACGAAAACTTATGTTTCTCTAAATACAATATCTGCACATTAAGGGCAGTTTGTGTGCATAACAATAAACTGGTCTGGAACGGTTTCAATTTCCCGTCTCCAACTCTTATTCCTCGAAAAATGTTTAGAAAATCTTTTAGCCCGGGTCTACAATAGGTGTAGTAAGCCTTAAGCCGTAAAACATTGACCAGTCACAGTCTGAAGTGAGGAGAATAATCGCTTGTGATTGATCAATTTCTTACGGCTTAAGGCTTACTACATCTATTGTAAACCCGGGCTTAAAAACGCGATACTCTCTATACAGGGTGTCTGATGCAAAAGTAGCCACTTTGAAAATAGTGGTAGATTGGGTTAAACTAAGGAGAAATATCATGTACCGCGGTACCAAGTAACAATAGTTATCGAGTAGTAAATTTACACATTTGGGCGAATGAGGATGCAGGAGACGGTAGGCCGGACTCGGAAGGCATTTAAAAAAATCGATCGATGAGCGGGAGGTGGAACGACGCGCGAGATACTATGTTTATGTTTCGGGTCGCTCGTCGCTCGCGCTCGCTGCCGCGCTCGCCGCCCGCGCCGCGCTCCCCGCCGCGCCAAGGTTTTTTCCCACCATGGTGTATCTCGCGCGTTGCTCCACCTCCCGCTCATCGATCGATTTTTTTAAATGCCTTCCGAGTCCGGCCTACCGTCTCCTGCATCCTCATTCGCTCAAACGTGTAAATTTACTACTCGAAAACTATTGTTACTTTGTACCGCGGTACATGATATTTCTCCTTAGTTTAACCCAATCTACCACTATTTTCAAAGTGGCTACTTTTGCATCAGACACCCTGTATACCTACGATATACGATACATATTACAAATAACATTCTGTTGATATTCTGGTATATCAACAGAATATCCTCTGTATATACCCAATCAGAAATGTCTCGTCGATCGACGTCGAAACGATGTCGAATCGACATCGACACCGTCGAATTGACGTCGATTCGACATCATTCCGACGTCGATCGACGAATCATTTCTCACTGGGTAATGCCTGGTCAGGTACTCATCAGGTAGCCCTGACAGGGCTCTGACCGTAAATATAACGTCGAAAATAAAAATTGCCTGATCAGGTTTTCTTTATCAAGACTTCATGACCTGCCCTTTGTCGCGCCTTACAGTTTCTAACAGGGGGTGGAACATCAATAGGTTTCCTATTAAAAATTCAATTTGTTAAACTAATTGTTAAATTGTGTTAAATTAAGCCAACGGCACCCGATACGATTTTTCCTACTAGATCGCATGCGAGACAATATACTAGTAGACATCCTACTAGCTAGGCAACGTGAAATATTGGGCGCTGCGTGCTACTGTACGTACTAGCATACTAGTTTTCGATAATCAGTTCAGTGCTATTTTCACTACGTGGTCTGTTGTTAGTTGACATATACTGTAATGATAAACGCGCAAAAAATACAAATAATAGGGTAAATATAAAGAAAATAGTTTTCTCACCATTCTTTATAAAGCTTAATGTAATATAATATATTCTGTTGATTAGAATTTTGTGTGTTTATTATGAAAGTGTTTTGTAAGGTTAGGAAATCTGCCGTCATACATTATTATAGTCATTGTATACAGGGTGAGTCACAACATTTCTGCCAGAGCTCGTGAGAAGGTAGAACGGATCGAGATGAACAGAAAAGTCCTGTACCATTTGCAATTTTCGCAATAGTTAACGAGTAATTAATTATCAAAAATCGTCGTCTTTGCCCTGCCCACTGTCCAATTCGAGCGCGTGGCGAGATGAGACCGCCCGGCGATCGATAT